AATAAAGTTAGTGTGTATAAGTAACAAAACTTATTTTTTAATGTGCTTTTGTTGTTGTTGTTGTTAAAATATAAAAAACAGCAATAAAAGCATAAAACTAGTGAGATGTTTAACCTTGTTTTTTTTTGTGAAAATAATGCATCAGGCTGATGTGCCCACAGTTCTCAGTGAGCTCTCAAGGTGCTCATCAGAGATTTTTGATGCAATATTACTTTTCCTATTCTTCATCCTTAGCAATAATTGTTCACAAATATACATGCTGTGATGACATGATTAAGCCATAGCTGTGCAGTGAGGGATATATTTCTCTGATAAGATAGAAAAGTCTGGTAAAGAGAGATGACCAAATTTTCATTTGAGTTGAATGTCTGATTGGATCTCTGATTGCATCTCCATGGATTCCATTTGAAAATTTACAGGTAATGTATTTATACTAACTGAAAATGGAATCGCAAGTATACAGAAAATGATACTCTGGGGGGAAATGTTGAAACTTATTCTCAGACTTCCTTGTACAAACAGAAAGCATGGCTGCATATTTTTCACTGTTCACAGGACTGTGGTTGGCCAGTGTATCAAAATGCCTGAAATTATTTGCCATAATTTAAGTTTTATTTCAAATGCTGTTATGGCTTCAAACATAGGATGGATAAGTTGATTTTCACCTTGAAGATGCACATTTAACTGATTTAAATGAGTGGTCAAATCCACCAGAAATTTGTGAGCCATTTTTAATCTTCATGTTCTGCCACAAATTTTCCTTTTGATTCCATAAAGGGCTTGATTTCACTTTTGGAAATCATGAAGTCTTTTTTAGCATTTTCCTCTAATTTAGCCACCTTCCTTCAGAAAAGTAAATGATGACCCAATAATCAGCATCAATAGTTTCAAGGATCTTTTAGAATTGGTGATGATTCAGCCCTTTTGGCTTTATGAAATTCACAGCTTTGATGACAATTTGCATCACGTTATCCAAAAACTTGAACATAGGATGTTTTGTAATAACATACGGATGAACTTATTTATGATATGGGTGACAGAGCACTGAAACAGTCTGCCCACAGAAGTTTTGGAGTCTCCTATGGAGATATTCAAGACCTGTCTGGACACCTACATGTGAGCCTGCTTTAGCAGAGGGGTTGGACTTCATGAGCTCTTGAGGTCCTTTTCAACCCCTGTAATTCTGTGATTCTGTGATCCCTTGTTAAAGCTTTCACTTCTAAATTTTCTTGATGTCTGATGCAGCGATATTTCATCAGACATGAGCTGGCAGTGGTAGTTACGTCATCTTCTATTAATTTTAAAAGTCTCTCTTTTCTGCCAACCATCACTGGGGCACTATCAGTAGCTATACCAGATATGTCGACAAAGGTTAAAGAAAATCACTTTAATGGTGGCTGTCCTGTGCCTAACTCAGCAAACAGCCTCAGAAAAATGCCCCTCACCCACTCCAGACGCTTGGAAGGAAATGGAAAAACAATAAAGTATGTTTGGTATGTGGAGCTCACACTCCTGGGGCCCTGCAGGTTCCGGTGACCTGGTCATTCACCATAGGTACAGTCAGGTGCCTGGCATTGCCTCTCACCAGCAACGTGTGATTTCCCAGCACTGCTGGCCCTGTGGCTTGGGGAGGTGCATGCATTGGGAGAAGCATCCCAAAATGCAGGTGCTTTCTCCTGGAGCTCAGGCCTTGTCTGGGTTTTCCACACCTCCTCCCTACAAGGAGGGAAAGCATCAAATACTGTTACCATCAAAGTACCTGAGGTCTACTGAGTTTCCCACATCATTCTCCAAACTAAGCTTGGTTAAGAACCGCAGCTTATTTGCCACCAATGCTGTGGGCTGTAGAACTCCAAGAGCACTGCTGAGGTGCTATGAGAAGCTCTCGCCACATCCAGCATCGTAACAGGTGCTCTGAGCAGGAGATCCAGCTGTGATGCTGGGCACAGGGTGAATTTTAAAAGAGCAGGAGGGAAAAGGTATTGTTTAGATGTGAGCGGCTACTGCCTCTGCTGCGCACATATATGAAGCGATAGGGAAAACATTAGCACAAAGAAGAGATGAAGGACTGGCCTATAACCAATAACTTATGCCCCATGGTTCTTCTGCACACAGATTTTATAACAAATGCACCAAATAACCTGTGCAGCGTGGAAGTAGCTGTATGAAGGTAGAAATACACTAAACAACTAAACTACTGATGCAGCATATAATGCACAGAAGCTGGATGAGTGCCTTTAAGTAGCTACAGCTACTTCTGGGCTCAGAAGGCTGGAACATTGTGCCAATTAACTTACTGTCTTCTAGAAAAATTAATATAAAACCTGTGTTTGCACAAGATCTTGCAGTGACAGACTAAAGGAATACATTCTGTTCTGTTTATCAAAGTGAGAAAACACCATTTAATCATTATCAAGGATAATTATTCAGAGAGGTGATATTGGGTGCAAAATGTATCTTTAATTCAGGAATACAAGATCAGCCAGCTGGTAACTGGAGGAAGACAACTGAAAGGCAATTAACCATTGCGTAGCTTAATGGTGCACGTGATGGAGTCTCCACCACTTCCCATATTTATCTCAGGATGGGATGCATTTCTAACAGAGCTGCTTTTGTTTAGGCCAATCATGAGTTGTTGGGCACAGACCTGGTTTTACTTCTGCAGTTCCTTGTCTTGTGTACTGCAGGACTTGAGAAGGCTCTCTGGTAAGATTTCCCATCACTTCTCCTCTGTGACCTTCTGAGAACAAACTGGCAAAGCTTATGAGCCTTGGCCCAAATCCAGCTCACCAACCTCACAGTATTTCCATGCAAAGCAGAAAAAAACCTTGTGGCAAAGTGAGGTGTGGTACGGCAGGGAAAGAACTTCAGCCCTTCCTTCTGATCCCTGTGACATTTGATGCAGCAAACCAAGGATTTCTATCTAAAAATTTAGGCTAAGGAAGGATCAAGTCCTGGATGCACTGTTGTACCTCAGCGTTGAATAAATGGAGGGGAGCGCTGCACAAACCCAGAACAAAGTCATTGTGGTTCTCACCTGGGGTGCTGAACTTTTGCTAAGACAGGTCTAAGGCTCATTTATCTAACACTGCCGAAGCATATAAGAGTAACACTTATTCCTGAAGTACTCTGTGGTCAGCAACAGTGGAAACTTTTTGGATCTGTGAATGTTGTTTACTCATTGCATTTCTCATGGCCAGCCACATCTGCCTATCACCCTTTTCTTTTTATTTTTCAACCTAACTTAATGGAGCCATTTATCAAAGCTTCACAATAACCTTCCAAGTGCAGTCTAAAAGATGCATAGCAGAAATTGTCCACAAGAGCAATGCAGGCAACAGAATGAATAGGAATAGCCCACATTGCATTTTCAGATGCTGTCATACAAACACCTCCCAAACTGTGCTCAGCAGATTGGTGACTGATATGGATGGTGTGTGCTGCATCCACTGGTCCATGAACCGACAGATGTGTTGATCATAAGAAGGTGATCAATATGGTTAGACTATGTTAGTGGAGAGTACATAGCAGCCTGTCCAGTGACAGATGGCCTGCCAGGCTGAGCCAGCTAACACCCCAATGAGTTTGTGCAAAGGATGACAGTTGTCTCTACCCCATAATGGGATGCTAGTTTTCTTAGCATCTCTATTGGGCCAAAGACTTGATAAGTTAAATTGCTTGAAGGCTGCATGTATTTCACTACTTACCTGAAAGAGGCTTTCCTTCAGTGGGCTCTGTTTCTGTTTTATCAACAATCTCTTCCAAACCATCAAGTATTTCAGTTTTGTTCTCCTCAGAGCTCTTGGGGAATTGAAAAGAAAGTAGTCTTCTTCTCCAGGTGCCAGTGCCTTCCTGTTCTTTCTCGTTCTTTCGTTTTGATTTCCGAATGCTTAGCATGGTTTTAAAACCTCTTTCAATAAATCCCATGTTCTCATCATTCCAAGTTGGGCTGCCAAGCTCTGAAGCAACTTCCATCTTTTCTTTCTCCACATCATTTGTTGCAGGGTCTGGTTCTAAAGCTGATCTCCTTAGATATACCTTTGTATTTGTACTCATCTTGTTTTTCAATGAAGGGCTTTCCAAAAAGGTTGCTGGCAATCACTGAAGTGAATGAAAACACAGAGTGAGATGAGAGGATTCTAAAGAGCTACTACTGCATTTCCAAAGGACTAAAAATCTGGTCTACTTTTTTCTGTGCCTAATCCAAGGACGGAGAATGTTGTTTCAGCCTAACATGACCAAAATGGTTTCTCTAAGCTCCTTGTGCATGTACTGCTCTGCTTTTAGTCCTGGAAAGCTCTAACTCCTAAAATCAGGCAAAAGGCAGCTAGTTGCCCAGCACCAACGAATTGCTGGATGTCAAGGATGCCAAAGCCTGTTAAACATAGCATTTTCATCTGGCAACAAGGCATGTTTTTACCTTCTTTCTTCTAGGTGCATTTCCAGCCATGTAGACTGAACGTCAGCAAGGTATTCTCACTTTCTGATGCAGACATGGCAACTGCAGGTCATGCTCTGCTCCTGCCCTGCTCAGTCCCCAGCTGGCTGCTGCTGAACACCCACAGTGAGTGGTCCCTGCAGCCTTCCTGACCCTCCCTGGCTGTCAGCTCGCCAGCCAGCATGACCCAGTCACAGAGATGCTATGCATTGCAGGGGTCTGAGGATGGGCAATGGCACATTTCCCCACAGCAGGCTCAAGGCAGCTCAGCAATCAGTTTAAATCTTTACACAGGAAATTCCTTGAGGTCATCCTGGCCTGACTTAGTTCTGTCCAGCTCACAGGAGACAGAGATTGAAACATGGTTATGGCCAACAGACAGGTTAGGACCCCACAATTACATTTCACCCTTCCCTATCTGAGCCTGGCCGTATTCCCACTCCCCTGCCTACAATTGTTTCACAGGTTATGAGCCGCAAGTACTGCACGGTCCCATGGGTGGGCTGAGCTCATGGTACAGCAGGGCCTGGACCCTGCCCGACTCTTTCCCAGAAGAAATACTTAACCAATGGGATTAGAGGGAGAGGAGGGCACCGCATTCCCAGGGGGTCAGCAGGGAAGGGACCGAAGGCTCAAAACCTGCCTTGAAGGCTGGCTACGGTGGTGTGAAACAAGGAGACATGGCAGGAGGAACCCATAGGCAAGGAGAAGGAGGGATACGCACCCAGGCACTGATCCTGTCTGCTGAGATAACCCAGCTGGTGTCCAGAAGAATGGAGAGCAGCTTCATGCAGGAGACCAGAGAGGTGTGGTGGTGGTGGTGGTGGTGGTGGTCAGGCTGCTGGCAGGGCAGGCATTGGGATGAGTCACCTGGCCCACTCACAGCAGCACCAGCGCTGGCTGAGGGGCTGTTGCATGCATGGGGCTTCCTGCCATCCTCCTCTGTCTGCTGGAAAAGCACAGATGGAAGTGGAAGAAGGGTTAGGACCTTCCTGCTGAGCACCTCTAGCAGCTTTACCTGAGCTGTTTTTCGCTTTCGCTATGACTTGTGCAGTTAAAAGAAATGAAGAGGAGGAAGAGAAATGCTGGACGAGCTCCAGATATGGGTTAATATTTCCTCTAGGATGGGGGTGGAGAGGCAGGCTCTGTGCTGGGGATGAAATGACGGGCTCAGGCAGCTGGAATCGATGGGGCAGCAGAGAGAGAAGCAACCTGGAACCTGGTCCTGCCATGTGTGGGATGAAGTCCCCAGGGTTGAAGACTCAGGTGTAGCCCAGTGCTGATACATGGGCATGGCTTCATTCCGTTTCACCTTGTGCTGCCCCACTTCTAGAGGTCACAAGTGGCCCAATCTGAATAATAATTGACAGGTGCAGGTGAAAGACCAGGAGAACTATGCCTGCAGCTATGCATTTGTACATTCAGCCTTTCATTCCTTTCCTCACTTTGGTAACTAATATCAATGGGGTTGTTAGCCCTGGATTCTTCCATCCCAGCAGCTTTTGGGCATGCTGAAAGGAGCTCAAAGCAAAGCAACAAGGATGTAAAGCTATTAGCGTGTCCAGAGGAGGGCTACAAAGATGGAGAAGTGTCTGGAGAGCAAGGTGTGTGAGGAGCAGCAGTCCCTGGGTTTGCTCAGCCCAAAGCAGGGGAGCTGAGGAGAGGCCCCATGGCGGCTGCAGCTCCTCACAGGGAGTGGAGGTGCTGAGCTCTGCTCTGTGTGACAGTGACAGGGCCTGAGGGAAGTGGATGGAGCTGTGTCAGGGGAGGGACAGCTGGGGGTGAGGGACAGGCTCTGCATCAGAGGGTTGTGAGCATGGAACAGCCTATGCAGAGCATGGCCCCAAGTTGCTGGAGTTCAAGGAGTGTCGGGACAGTGCTCTCAGATTTAGGATTTGGGTTTGGGTGGTCCTATGTGGAGCCAGGGGTTGGAGTCAGTGATCCTTATGAGTCCATTCCAACTTCTATGATATTCTATGATTCTACGAACATTCTGGTGTCTGGAAGGCTTTAATGATATTGAACAATGCAGGGCAGGCTGGTGGCAGGATGTCTTTGTTTGGGACAAAACATAGCATCATTTGGGTGCAGGAAATCCTGCCTGGAATCCCCCTCATCTACACAGTCCAGCACTGAGCTTCTCATTTGAGCCATATTTCAGACAGAGGCAGCCTTGTCAGGCTGGGGAAGGTTGCAGTAAGCAGCACTTCTGCACTTGGCAGAGCAACAACGGGGACAAAGGGAAAGTGCTCTTTAATCAACACGTGACAAGGTGTGGAAAGCCCCTTCTTACACAAAGTCCAAATAAACATATTTCTGTTCAGGTTGGTCATCTCCTCTGCCAGACATTTACAGGATATTTCTTTGCACAGGCAGGTTGGCTCTGGCTGGGGTCCTATGCCACCAACTCACAGACCCTGCTTGTGGGATCAGACCCTCTTGGGAGCTACCAGCTCTTCCAAACCAAAGCCAGCAGCAGGACCTCCCAGGCTGCTGATAAACACAGCAAGTGGATCCCAACACCCTGTAGTTTAGGTTACCTCAGTCCCCACCAGATGCTGACTACAAGGCAGCAGAAATTCAAAAGTCTGCCATGGAAGTTCATGAGAATTTAAAAATTTATTGTGCCCCAGAGTTATTTACCATTTTACTTCGATTTTGCTAAAGGGTCCTAACCCTCCAGCTATCTGTGAGAGGTTATTTTCTTTAAAAAGGAAACCTGAAGGTCTCCTTGTTCCAGCAGGGGACTTTAAAGGGAAAAAAGCACCAATTGTCATGAAGTTCCAAAAAATAGTGAAGCTGGGTAATGGTATAATACATGTAATCCTTCCTGCTCTCTACTGTCCCTGTAGAGTGAAGCCTTCAAGAAATCCTTCTTGTTTACAAGCCACCAGTAGCAGCTCTTCATTATCAGGAGCATGTTTTCTGGGCAGAACCAAGGTGTCACTGTTGAGCATCCAGAGGACTTTGTGCTAAAAACCTTGTGGTCCTTAGTTCAGTGGGCAGCACGTAGACACCACCTTATCCCCAGTGAGCTGTGGGACATCTCAGCCAGTCCATGAGGATCTTCCTAAATAAACCCATGCTCTTTGTTCAAAGTGAACAAAGAAAGAAAAGCAAATCCTGCAGGAAATGCCCTGTTCTTTTCCCCAACAGTGCCTAGGGCTATCTCTGGCTCAGTCTTTGCTGATCCATCTCCTGGTACAGCAGCAGTCATGAAGCACTGTGGCTGTGCCAGACTTCATGCTGAGCCGTCACGCTCGGTTCTGTTGTTCAGACCTGCCATCAACAGGAACACATGTTCCTGAAAAGATCTTGCCATCTGGAGGAAGCACTGGGAAATTACCTTCCACCAAGCAGCACCAGCCTCATTTCCTTCTCGGCCTCCCGGCACAGTCGTGAGAACAAATGAATCACCAGCACAACCTGGGGGCTTACAGCAGGCTGGTAGACAAGACGAGGCTGGGACCTTCCCACCAGGAAACTCAGCCAGGGAGGAGAAAACAGAAAAGATGGAAAAAGATGGATTGGGAATTAAGAGACAACCTGACAAATCCAGGTGACAGTACAAATGCTGCAGGACTGTGGTCAGGGATTCTGTGGCAAGCACCTGCTGCAATCCAGTAGCCAATTCTTGCAAGCTATAATCAACGAGAGATTTGCAGCCTGGCTTTAATGGAAAGCCAAGCTCATTCTTAGCTCCTTCACTACAAGAACTTGACTTTTTTTTTCCTTTTATGTGTCTCCTAATTCATAACACAGTGGTGTCAGTGTTTTCACTCTATCTTACTAAGACTGATTAGTGATAGATTTTAATGGCAAGGAGGTACTAGTGTCCAGATGCCAGGCTGACAGGGATGCAGACATGGTAGGGGAGATGTAGGCATGATATACAGATCTGGGAGTGATGTACGAACTCTGTGTCCCTAAATACCTGCATATTTCTGCAAATGTTGGCAGAGGGTGGGAGCCAGCCCAAGACTAGGGCAGAACGAAGGTTCTTTGTGCACATTCTGAAGGGCTTTGTACACATAGCCTGAGCTTCCACTTCACAGGCTTTCAAACACTTATGGCTTTCCCCTCACAAAACATGGTGCCATTGCAAAAAGTGACAACCCAGCTGCCCCGGGGGTTTCCATGGTGACCCAGCCTCATTCCCCATCTGATTTGTTCAGTTTAGAGAAGAGTGATTTTTCTTTTTTCCTTCTCACAGCGAATCGACCCTCAAGCCCACTCCATTTCTCCACAGTTCCCATGGCCGTGGTGTATGCTCATGCATCCCTGTTCCCCCTGCATTCACATGCTCATGCCTTGGCTGTGCTGCCCCATCCCAGAGTCAGCCCATGCCAAGTGGGTCAGTCCCTGACAGCTCATTCTTGGGGCCTGGTCCAGAGCTGAGGAGATGCTCCTGGAGATATCTGATCTCAAAAATGATTGCTGCCAACATCAATTCCTTTTCCATCTATATCATTGTGAGTTTTTTCATGTGGCAATGTGTCAAAACATCCAAGAACACTGCCCAATTGAAGCTGTTGAGCTTTGAATCCTGCAGTGTCCACATGGCTTTTGCTACAAGTTCTGCAAAGTTACTGGTTCATAAAGATAACTTTAACCAGAACTGGAGAAGATTAGGATCTGGAATTAGCATTTGGGCAGTGGCTTAGGTGCTCCTGCTTCCATGTGCATGGGGAGACCCCTCTGGGGTGCCTCAGAACCACTTTGCTCCGGCACCATGGCTGAAGCAGAAGCACTATGTCCCTGCTTCCTCTTCCTCCTCTTCCTCTTTTGGAGTGTGAAGTTATTCAGGAGAAAAAGTACAAGGATTCACCCCACCAGTTTGTTCACAGAGCTTGAAATAAATAAACCCCAAACCCAATGAGGGAACTATGGTAAGCACCAGGGCTTGCAGTGAGCCCCAGGTGTGAGCAGCAGTGCTGCCATAGGAAAGACAAACACAGGCAATGTGCAATCGTAAAAGAAAACAGACAGCATAATTTAAGCGAGTTCTACACTAATAATGAAGAAAATTCCGGCAGGTGCTTGGAAGTTGCATTTCTGCAAAGCAAGGAAATACTGCCTGGAGGGAGGTACTGCTGCCCAGGAGATGGGTGTGTGATGGGGCCTGCACAGATATGAAAAGGACTCAGCAAGTATCACATCTCAAATGCTGTGTGGAATGAATAAATGAGTTCTCATTTCATCACAGAAGGGGGGGCTTGGAGGATTTTCCATGAGAGCTCCCACTGCAGAAACCCATCCTCAGAGCTTTAGCAGGATAAAAAAAAAAGGTTTCCTTCCTCTTCTGGAGAAGATCTGAAATTGGCCGGCGAGAGCAAGACTTTGTTTTTCTTCTTTATTGATACCATCAAGAAGTCCAGGACTTTCTCAATGAGTGAGGCACGAGCAGGTCTGCGGGGCACTGGGGCTCCCATCAGCCAACAATTGCATGTTTCTGGCTTTTGGGGACTGTCAGCCAGTTCATCAGGGAAATATCATGGTGAGAGCCCCAGGGAACCGTCCAGTCCCAGCTGGTGGTGGCCATCAGCATGCAAGGACAGCCCATGACCCTTGAAGCAGTCTCTGAATCGTAGTGCCACAGCCTGTGGCCTCCAGCATGGAGATGCCTTCTTCCCCGACAGGATGCCCTCATCCGTTTCATCATGGGAGCTGCCAAAGCACATCTAAGAGCAGAGCACTTTGTTCATGGCAGCAACTGCGGATTAGCAACTGTTATGCTTCCCTTTGCAATTCATCCTAGGCTGTGCAAAAATATTGGTTTGATGCCAACAGGAAAAGCTGTGGCTTCTGTGGTATGGAGCCCGGTCCTTTGGCATGGGGCAGATGTCCAGCTCTGTCATGATGCTTGGCTCCAGAGAGCTTCTCCATTGGGTTAAGCACAGGCTGAGCACTCTCTGTAAGCTGGAGCAAAGCTGTGCTCAGCAATTCAAACAGAGTTAGAGTGTTCCATTACTTAATTTGAGTGGCTAACAATAAATCACTTCTGGGTCACAGGCACCTACTACTGTGTCTGTCACTGAAGCCAGGTTTTGGGTTTTGCAAAAGCATCATAAAGGACAAGGGCCTTGTCCTCCATTGCAGAGGTTTGCTTCACTGCACCAGCATCGCCAGCCCGCTGTACTCAAACGCTCCACCAAAGCCAAGTTAATTGTAGAATATCCCAAGTTGGAAGGGACACAAGGATCATCAAGTCCAACTCCTGGCTCCTCAGGACCACCCAAAAATCAGACCATATGTTTGAGAGTCTTGTCCCAGTGCCCCTTGAAGTCCAGCAGCTCGAGGCCATGCCCACTGCCCTGGGGAGACTGTTCCAAGCCCACTGCCCTCTGGTAAAGAACCTTTTCCTGATATCTAACTTGAGTTAATATTTATTTGTGTTCTATGCCGTGCTGTGTTATGGGGTTTGTAGCATGGCTCTGTAGTTTTTTGCTTTGTGTGAAAACAGAGAAATGAAGATATTAGCCAGCGCCCATTCCTGGGCTCAGCCTGTTGCTGCACAGCTGCAGGATATTCTCAAGCACAGGAGCTTTGAGAAATACCAGCAAAGCTTTAAAGTGGCCTTAAAAGAAACCTCTTTTGGTTTGGTTTGGTTTGGTTTGGTTTGGTTTGGTTTGGTTTGGTTTGGTTTGGTTTGGTTTGATAGAGTGAGAAGAAAGGGACAGGCTGGTTCTTAATTGCACGATGCTACAAGCTAGTAGATTTCTCCCAGTGCCGAAGGGTGCAGGTATCACCCCTCCATGTTGCCCATGCCAATGGGAACTATGATGCCCAGCATGCCCACAGCTCTGCACTGTGCTCCCTCTGTACTCAGCTCTGGTGAGGCCACTTCTTAAGTATTGTATTCAGTTTTGGGCTCCTCACTACAAGATAGATATTGAAGCCCTGGAGTGTGTCCAGAAAAGGGCGATGAAGCTGTGAGGGGTCTGGATGTCTATTCCCAGGGGTGAACCTCTGGAAAGCTGTTCTTTCCTTAACTTGATGCCTGGGGAAACCTGAGAACTAGCACTTTTTTTAAATATATATTTTTGTACCTTTTTTTTTTTTTTTAAATAAGTGTTTTTGAAGTTTCATTGAAGATGTTGTCACTGGAATCATTATATTTCTATAGAGATTATAATGACTCCTTTTGAAGAGTTAGTCTCAGTCAGTCAGTGCTTAATTCACATATCAATGACTTCATAAACCCTAAATCCACAACTCTTCCGAAACTGTACTCATCTGCTGTACCAGTGAGTGCCTGCTTCTTAGTGCCAGATTGTTTCTCTATAGGGCCATCTCAGCAGCAGTGGAGCCTTGGCCATGCGAGGCAGCGCCATGCAGGTTTTACAAGCCAGTGTGAGTACCACAGCCCAGTTGTTCCCTCTGGCTGATTTGCTCCAAGTTTCTTCATTTGCAATCCATTGATTTGGATGCTTCGCTCTTCTCCACAATTTGCAGCATTTAATGCTTTTTGCATGACAATCACAGTGGGTTGGAGTTTTCTGGCCCAGCCTGCATCCAGTGTCAAAAATGGCATTGCCATCTCTACATGGACCAGCTAGGAGCCCAGCACCCCCAGACCCTGAAGTGCTCGGCCCAGAGCGCTCAGTGCCTTCCCAAAGCAGAGCAACTGGCTGACATTCTTTTTCTTTTATAGTCAGAAGATTTATACAGCCATGTTTTGAAACCTCCTAATGTATGGGGCTATACAGGAGTCCTAATCACAGTAGCATAGCAGGTGCTGCTGTAAAAATGCAGCTTTCTTTTTTGTGGAATTTAATTTTATTTAAAGTGCTGACAGGGAGACAATGAATTGCTCACATGCGCTGGTGGATTTTGCCCCTCCTCCTCATATCTCTTGCAAAAATGGGTACAAAAACAGCATAGGAATCAGGATGATTCCTCTAGCATTGCTTGGTTGACAAGAACTCAACAAACCTGCATTTGCATCCCTGGTCCTGCCTCTGCATCCCTGATCCTGCCTATTCATCCCTGGTCCTGTGTCTGCATCCTTGACCCTGCTTTCCTCCAGCAATTTGGAGGCTGAAGGCTCATTGTGGTATAGCAGCTCCGGAGACACTGTTGTTGCTGCACTGTGATGGGTCCCTGGGTGTTTTGGTACTGTCGCATAAAATCAAACTCCAGTTCACCCTGACATTTGCATGTGCTGTGTGGCCAATGTAAAAAGCATATAGATCAGATTTTCCCAGGGGATAAAAAAAAAAAAAAAAAAAAAAAACAAAGGAGTTGAGTGGAGCAGATGTAGACCTGAAATACTTGAGGCGGAATCTGTGCTCATGTCAGCATGAAGCAGTGATTTATCATGGTGAGACATGGGGAGGCTGCATGGGGCTGTTGCCATAAGGGTGCCAGGGCTGATGTTTGGGTGCCATCAGTGCCCAAAGTGTTTTTGCAAAATCCTCACTGCACTGGAGCCAGAAGCAGAGAGTAAGTAATCTTAATTGTCTCTATCTGCTCTAGCATAAAAGAAATCAGGTGGTGCTGGATACAAACAGAAATACAAACCTGTATTTCTTCCAACTTTGGAAACAGAGGCATCAGACTTACTGGCTTTTTGCTCAATTTTGCCCCTGCATGCACCTCTTGCTGCATGATGCAGTTGCCAAAATGATTTGCTCCCTTCCTTTGAAGTCCCGCAGTAAACATTTTGTCCTCTCACAGTGTTTTCCTCTGCCTTCTTTCTTCTGCAAGGTTCTGGTGCTGGCAGAGTGAGAGGATTAAAGCACATCATCATTTTCATTTTACTCTCTGAATCATGTCAGTGAGAAACCATCTATTGCTGGATCTAAAACTCACTCTGCCTCACTCTGCCCCTGCCCTGGAAACCTTACAGGAACAGGAATGAATGATGGCACAGCCTGAATACCCAGCTTTCCTCTTTGATTAGCTGGAAGCAGAAGAGTCCAGTGTTTTCAGAGGCAGGACAGGGGAGGGTGGAGGTCCCTGTGTCCTGCCAGCTCAGAGCAGACTTTGTTGCCTTGCTCGTGCTCAGAAGCATAGCTTGGATCAATCTGTGCCCTTCACTGCTGGAATGAAGCCAAGTGCTGCAGCTGCCCTGCGTCCTGCAACTCACAGACAACTCATCCACGTGCTTTGTGCACCACCAAACATGTTCTGCATGAGTCTGAGCAACCTGTTTCAGCCTGTTCTCCCTCCTACCTGCGTAAGTCTTGCCAACTTCTTATATTTTTCACCTACATTAAAGCTTTAACTTGAACTAATGCTATTGATGTAATACTGAGGACATGACATGCTCTACAAGTCACAGCATAACCTGGTTCATGTCCTTCTTAGGAACAAGCCAAGCTCTTGCATCCAGAGAGCTGAAGATCTGTTGGAAAGCTGAGCATTAGTTGGAAATTGGACAACAGATGATGCTCTCCATGCTGTGCCCTCATCACTTGTGCCACTGCTGAGCTGAGCTTCCTGAGGAGCAGTACTCACCAAGGCTGGCTGGAGCCATGTCCTTCATATGATAGAGCCAGGAACAATGCTTGGAGACATCCTCAGCTTTGCAAAGCAACCCTATGTCCTCTGGGCAAGAGGGATGGGAATGCAGCTCCAGGGCTCCTACTCAGCAATCCCTGTTGGTACCCAACAGGACTGGTGCTGCAGCCACAAACCGCTCTGTTTGCAGCAGTGCTTGTGTTGCTGCAAGTCCCAGGAAAGCTCCAGCACTTGGCTGAGCCCCAGGGACAAGGTCCCTGTATGGGAACATGGAACCCTCACTGCTCCTTGATAAAGTCAGCACTGAGTGGGCTTCTCTCTGATGCCGCTGGGAAAGAAAGGGAAAACAAAACAAAGCAATGTTGAACTCAGCAGATGGAGGAAGCTGAGCTTTCTGACTGTTTCTATGGAGCCCCTCCCAGCACTGGTTTGGAGTGGGTCTGAGCTCCATCCCTTCCCAGAGGGGTGCCTCTTCCCATCCCCCTGTAGGACCCACTGTTCTGATAATAGGTTGGTGCCACACCACCAGGCAGCCTGCTTATCTGGCTACCCAGCAAACGATTTGGAAGAAAAATCCATTTTTGACTCAACCAAATAAAACATTTTTCATTTGTTCTTTTTCTTCTCTCTCTCTCTCTCTTTATAAAATGTTCTGCGTGAAATGTTGCCTGATCATCCTGCACCTCTCTCAGTTCTGCTCTCAGCTATCTGTGGGTAGAAGTGGAGGGCAGGAGGTGATGATAAGTGACGAAGCTAGAGAGATGATTAAAATGCAGGAGGCAACTTCACCAAACTCAGTCGTAAAATGAGATTGTTTTTTCCCCAGATGAAGCATTTTGGAGGATCCAGCCCTTGTCTGTGATCAGATTCAGATGGTGAGGATCAACCCATCATGGGTTGCTGCTCTCTGAGAGTACCCCCATGTGAGACTGACACCTGCACAGGCAGACATGGCATTCCCACTCTGCAGTCCTTGTTTTGCTGCTCTGTGCCATTCAGGTTTTTCAGAAATCCATAGGTGCTGTAACTATGCAGCTCAAGGCTACCAGGGGCTTCAGCTCTCTTACACAGGAACTTGGGCTTTAGGCCAGTTCTATCATTTCTCCAGGAACGAAAAGTTAGATATGCTTGAATTAACAAAATTCCAAGGCTGTTCTTCCATCTTTCTACATTCTTCGTGTTCTAATCGACCATTTGGAAATCCTTTACTCAGAAGGGGAAAATAAGGATAGGAGACATAACACTGAGGGAGAAAGGTGTATAAACCCTTCCTCTCTACAACTGCAAAATAGCAATTGGACTGATAGATCTCATTTTAAATGCAAACACAGATTTCTTCCCCAGTCGGCTAAAGAATCAAAGGACAAACAGTGAAGCCAAATTTGTATTGCTTCTGTGACTATCTTGCATTTTGCCTCCCGCATTTTAATTTTCTCTCTGGCTTCATCTGCTAAACTGATGCTGAAATGTGTTTGGCCTCATGGTGATTATCTTTGCACCACATCACAGAGAAACATCAGTCATTTCCTCTTCTTTGACCTATTAAACAATTCTTTCTAGCATATTGCTGACTTTGATCAGATTGAAAGAATATAGTCAACAAGCCTTTTTAAGCTTCCACATTAAACTTCTCTGTGTTTTTGTTGTTTTCTTTTCAACATCATATTCTGAAATACAAGTCACCCTCTTCTCAAGCTGTGATTGCTCCGAGTTACTCAGCACAGGGGCAGTTTGGTTTCAGATTTACTTCTCACTACATTGTGTCATCCACTCCACAATGTGAGGACACTGCATGGAGATGAAGGTAAACCCCAAGCAGTGAATCAGGTCATTATGTGCAAACTGGTACCTGTACTTGTGTAATTTCTTGAATTACCTCTTATCTCCTCATCTTTTGAGCGCAATTTGTGTGTGGGGGTAGTTCTCATTCCTGTGAGCAACATCTCCAAATTCTAAGGATTATTCTTTCTTGACCTTGATAATTCTAATATATTTATTGTATTTTGGGGGCAACAGAAGGTGGGAAGTTGATGTGAGTTTATCTCACACGCACCAGCCTCAGTGTGAGCAGAGCTACTGCCACCAGGCACTTTTGGGAAGCCCCAATACACATCATTAATTTGGGATTCTATGTGTTAGAGGGTCTGTTTTTAACAGGAAAGATGAAACAGAGGTGGGAAACCTGGTCATGGGAAGCGTCAAAATACAGTGCGTGATATTAGAGCTGTGTTTAATCGTTCATGGTGACCACTGTTCTATTTGTGAAAAGAGCACCTCTGGATAGGCTGACCACACCGTGCTTGAATACAATGGCCAGCAGTAAGACTGTTAGTGAGATAAGGACCAGGACTTGGCCTTGAATGTTGATCAGGAGAAATTAATGTATCCTGTTTGGTGCTGACCGTGGCCAGCTCCTGAGTCACAACCCATATCATATCCTTGAACTTTCGTGACCAGGTCTGTGAGCAGATAAGCAGGGTAAAATGCTGCAAGGCGAGTCCTGAAAGGACTTCTGTTTCAGACAGAGGTCTGTGCTACATTTTTTTTTTTTTTTTGCTCACATGGAGGTCTTAAAGAAAATGCAATGCAAACCTAATGCAGGCACTCGCCATTTTCCTTCTTAGGAGGCAGAGCTGACTTGTACGGATGCAGGTAGATCCTAGATCCAAGCACCTTCATGCAGCAAGGGATGTGGCATGCAAGGTCTGCATGTGGTGGCAGTGTCCCTGTGCTACAGGAGCAATGTGCAATGGGAGGCCAGATTCCCCTCACTGCTCCCCTGCAGGTGCACAGCCTCTGCTGGGTGTCCCCACCCCTTCACCGCTGTGTCATCCAAACAAGTGGCAGTGTTGGCACAACCAGCTGCAGTTGTACGGGCACAAGTGGCTCCCGTGCTGTTCCAGCTGAGCGCTGTGCCAAGAATGCACGGGCTGCTGCCAGGAGGCAGCGCCAGCAATGACTGCATTTCACTCAGTGCACTTTTTTTCCCCATAAACTCTTCAGTGTCCGTATGCAGTCCTTGTTGTGGCTGTAGTGGCATCTCCTGCACCCACATGATGAATGGACATAGAGCCACCTGATGTCACAGTGATGGGAAGAGACATTGCCCCATTCCCATCTCACCATAAATCCCCCATTGCACTCCAATCCCATTACAGGAGTAAACCAAGGTGATGTTTGGGTGAAGCCCAGACTGGCAAGCAAGTCTAGTTGCTGGAGGGCACCCTGAGAAACAGCCACTGTGTAGAGCAGCAGGGTCAGCTCTCTGCCCCCAGTCTCTTCTCTACACCCCCTCTATGTACAGACATCCTGCACAACCTCATTTCCCCAGGAGAGGCTGCAGCACCACACTTCCTGAGCTGGTGGCTTTTAGTCTCAAGGGAGAAAACAAAGCACATGAAATTCAGGCAGACTTTTGGCTCTGCCTGCAGCAAGTTTGGGCACAGCTGCACTTCTGCATTCATCCTGAGCTGTTTGCAATCTGAAGCTGCTAGAATCACAGAATCACAGAATATCCTAAATTGGAAGGGACCCACAAGGATTACTGAGTCCGACTCCTGGCTTCACACAGGACCACACGAAAACTAAACCCTATGTCTGAGGGCATTGTTCAGTCACTCCTGCCTTGGGGAGCCTGTTCCAGTGCCTGACCATCTTCTCAGTGAAGAATCTTTTCCTGATATACAACCTGAGCGTGTCACTGGTGTGGAAAAGTGTCTTAGCATCATGCTAGAGGCACCAGCATTCATTGGCTCTATGTGCTTGTGGTGCCAGAATGTCTTCGAGAACAAGAGTGAGGAAAGAGACAGGAATATAAACAGTTCTGAGAATGAAAACAAGTAAAGACAACAGTGAAAAAAAAGAAAAAAAAAAAAGAAGGTAACTGACAGAAAGAAAAGTCTTTTCAACAGAGGGAAAGAAGACAGATGGAAAGACAGGAGAGAAGAGAAAAGAAAGAAAGAAATGTGGAGAAATGAAGGAGAGGTTGGGGGAAGGCTGCACAATAATTTGGCACCAGTTCCTTGCATTAGTTCCCTGAAAATTGTGCGAAGCGGGGGCAGAGAGCTATGGATTACTTGAAGTGTAGCACCACAATACCGTGGGTTGGCCACTAAATTACCATTCTGAGAGTCTCTTGGCTTAGCCTCACTGCTGCTGTGAAGAGAGCGATGTGTGCTGAAAAATAGACCTATGAGGAAGAGGACTGAGACTAGAAATTCCATTATATTCTTGGCACTTTGACATTTTTCCTCCCCTTTTGTGAAATCTCAAGGGAGCGCTGCCTACTCTTGCAATAATAATAATAAAAAAAAAAATAGGTAGCATATGAGTTGGCATGGTAACTTCATCTACTAAGTAACTAACATGTAGGATTTGATTCTTGATCTAGAATAATAATGCCAACAGCCTCCAGGAAGGTGCTTACTTGTGACTGACTGCCTGTTCCAGACCGGATTTCATGCTTCTCTTACACTTGGTCGCCTTGGTGAAACTCACCACAGGGACAGGGACAGGGACAGACCTGAGCCACTCTGATGCTGGAGTGCATGTTTGCTGGCTTCCTCCACTACACCTTTCAGGTCAGTACAACTTGATCATGTCCAAGCACTGGTTTGCATTAATTACTGTTGTTGACTGGGTTTTCTGAAAGATCTGTAGAGAGGATCGAAGGTCTGAGGACTGAGAAGACTGGTTCTGATGTAGCCGTGCTGCAGCATCAGGCACCCTTCATGCCTCCAAATGGGCTCAGTAAGTACTCTCCCACCCGGAAGGGCTCCACAGGATAGACCAACTGTGCCAAGGAAACAGGGACAGTACATGAGGCAGAAGTGGAAGCTAGCCGTTATTACCATTTTCAATAAGGCAAAAAAAAAAAACCAACAACAATATCCCTATATTTTATTTTGCTAGTGCTTATGGCTGAGGAGTAGCTGTATGGTTGGAATCCACATATCTCCTTCATCCCTACTGCTGATCCAAGAGAAACGAGTGCACGCAAACAAGGCTCCCATGAGGAGCAGGAACAGTGGGCCCACAGCCCAAACAATTAATCCTTTTCTATCTCTATTTTTCCATCCCCACACGATAAGTCTGCTGCTGGAATTCTTAGGGTGCATTGTCCATCTTGCTCCAAGAGCTGGACAGCTGTAGCCATCCTCATCAAGGTGAAGGGTAAAGAGATAGTCCAGGGGATTATCTGGAAGAAACCTTTGCTCTCTATAGCACAGGTGCTCTAGGGAGTTGGCTTCTGTGCTCTCTTCTTGTTTAAATTTCCTGTATTCTTCAGCCTGTCCTTTACACAGGTCCCACATAGTTCATTTTGGTCTCAGGGAACAGACACTGCCCTACTGGTATAAAGACTATTTGGGTCAGTGTGGCTTGTTACAAAAGAGCATAAATGTGACTATAGAGTATTTGACTAGATCCATCTAGCCCAGTATCTTGTCCTGAAATCCATCATAAATGGATGTGCAAAGAAGAGAATAAGAAAGCAGACAGAGATACTCCTTCACTCTCCAGCCATTTTCAATTCAGGTGTTTGCTGAGCTAACTGAGGTCTGTAGCAAGTATCTAGCAACTTCCAGAAGATTGTTGTTTTTTTTTTTTTAGGAACTTCTCCAGGTTCCTTTTGAATGCATCCAAAACACGCAGCAAAGAGTCCCATGTAGCCACCTGCTGTCTGAAGAACAACTTACTTCTGCTTATTTTGAGGCTGGATGTTACAGGCTTTATTTTCTGCACCTAATTACTATACTGGGAGAGGCAGAGAATGCTTCCTGTGCAGGAGGAAGCTGCTTCAAAGGGCAGCTTTTAATCACTGTGTGGCCTGACAAGGGGGATACCCTGATGTAGTGATAGTGTGTTTAATGGAGTACATACAGCTCAGCAGCTCTGTGGATATCAGCTCTCTGTGCACTCTGCAGGATGCATCCTCTTGAGTTCATCCTTAACCAAAGAGAAGACAAAAATTCCTTTTGAGCATGATTTTGCCTACTTCTTCCAACACATCAGGTGCTACAGTGAGATATATCTTATCCTTACCTCTTTTCTTACCTCTCTTGTAGCCTTACCTGCTGTTAGCGTCTTCTTGCAGTGGGTACAGAGGTAGCAGAGCTCTTTTTGTACCACTGAGCTCCTAGCCAGCAGCCTTGAGGACCACACCGTGGATCCCAGCCCCACTGAGACATTGGGGACCATGCAGCTGAGCTGCTGGTGATGCTCATCCATGAGAGCAATTCCAAACCAAATGGTCCCTCTCCTCCCTACAGGCATCTTCTATATGCCGAACAGTGTCTGCTTTAAAGATTTTCATATCACACAAAGTTATTTAAAATGGCTGAGCAATAACCTCCTCAAAGGAAGATTTATTAACATTTACATCCAGTTCTCAGTGGCACAATAAAAATACATTATACTTTAGGTACAAACTGCTTTGCCTAGGGGAATCCCAATAAAATCAATGATCCATCTTTTTTTTTCTTTAAAGTGAGCAAGAAGCTCTAAGGCCCTTTATTTCCTTCACTGATCAGTGACTCAGAAATATTTGTCAGCACACATCTCTTCCCCATAGAGTTCCCTTTATCCTTGCCGCCTGTACTAATGAAACCAGCTACCAAAAG